AAGAAAGTCATATACACCTAGGATGACTTGAGGGTGAGTAATTTATGGGCTAATTTTCATTTTTGGGTGAACTAACCCTTTAAAATCATTCTGAGGTTAAATACATATTTAAAGTCATAACAAGAAATAGTTTAATAGCTATGATACTGTTTTTGAAATCAAATCTTTGCATAGCTATGACAGTAAACGCTGGAATCTAACAATGCCTTAGAAAAAACAGTTAATCTTAAAAAAATAAAGCATATACATAAGCATGTTATAAACTTCTGAAACATTGGTGTTTCATATTTTAGAGCAGTCACTGCAATTTATGGAAGAACTCAATTAAATCTGTATGTGGGAATGTGTGTGGAAAAAGTCATATGTAACCCCCTTTGTAATCCTTAACATTTTCATAAGTAACTGTAATTTAATTACACATTCTGTAATTTAATTACACATTTTTTACAATTACTTTTATTTTGTAATTAAATTACGTAATTCCGTTACATGTAACTAGTTACTCCCCAACACTGCATATGTGTTAGCATGCCAGGAGTTGTCATGACAGAGACGAAGAAAATAACACAGTAGATGGAGTTTTACCATAATAGTGTGGTTGTGTACACATACTGCAGACACACAATTATGTTCAAAAACAATTTAAAAGTGAAACTTGCAGGTCCCCTGTATGTATGCCAAACTTATAACTTCAACTGTACATATACCACAAGCTGCTAACAAAAAGTAGCCAACTATAGTGAAGAAAAACAGGTAAATAACTAACATTTTTTCACTACTACAAAAAAAAAAAAGGTTGCAAAATGCTTCTGTGCAGGGGCACTGAATTATAAATGTAGCACTAGTTGTTCATATTTTACTAAATTATCATCTCTTCAATTAGCATGTGTTTCCACCAACTAGTGATGGGTCATTCGTGAACGATTTGTTTAATATGAATTACATGACAAATGAACAAAAGACTCAATCACACAAGACAGTTAGTAAAATGATCCGATCTTCCCATCACTTCCACCAACATCTATTTGCACTTACACATTGAGATGGTTGTTCATTTTAATAAAATGTGTTTGCCACAGGTGACAGGGGAGAACCAGGAGACAAGGGAGCTAAAGGCTATGGCCTTCCTGGCCACATTGGGGAGCAGGGACCAAAGGGTAACGAAATAATAAACACGAATTAACCTCTCCTGTCATAGAAACATCACATGAGATCAAATGAGAGTCTCATTGGCACGTTGGTAGACTATGCAGCATTTTATTTATTTATTATTTTTCACATATCATAACTAGGTCAGCGTGGGCGACCTGGCCGGGCATTTGATGGGCAACAAGGTCAGATGGGTGAGAGAGGCCATGCTGGCCAGCCTGGTTTGAGAGGCCATCCTGGACTACGTGGAGTTCCTGGAGTCTGTCTGACATCTGGGTGTGCCTTACTCAATGCTACTTCTAATGCACAACCACGACAAGCACCTCAACAAACACCCCAACGTTCACCTCAACGGGCATCTCAGAGGTCTAGAGGACGCCAATGAAAGCACCCTCGAAGGTCAGACAGTGACGTGTGTATAGTATTATGGCGGAAGGATTAGAAACTGAAATTGTCACATGAATGGTAATAAATGTAAATATAAAACTGAAATGTGTCCATCAAAAGACTGAAACACTGATTTAACTTAGCAAAATGCTGAGTTATAACAAACTGCAAGAACTTGAAATTGTTGACTAAGTTTCATTAAGGTAATTTAAACATACAGATAAAGTTTGCATATATTATAATAGGAACAAATGTATATGTATTTTCAAAATGATCTGCACATTGCTCAATTTTATTTTCAATAAATGCTGTTTATAATAAAAATGAAACAAATTAATATCTAAGCACAATTATCTCTCTCTATTTCGACTTGTGATTGTAGTGTAACAGGTTATGTGCATTTGGGTAATTTTTTTTAATGGGAGAGTCAGAACTAAATTTCATAGAAACCGTAAAGTTTACAACCCAGTCTCATAAAAATACATACCTCTGCGTACATTTCTGCAACACCGTTTTTACGTACCTTACTGCACGTTTTGCCGCAGTTTCAAAGAGAAATGTCCACTGAGTGGCGCTAAAACACGGGTTCAATACGTCAACCCTGGCACGTTTTTATTACGTTGATATAGGTATGTATTGCTGTGTTTTTATTGCGTTTCTTCAGGTACGTATTGCGGCGGTTCAGAATTCAAATATCCGGGGACTGTCGCTAAAAGTTAATGCGTGTTGGAAATATGCCCTACACCAAACCCAACCCTAAACCTACCCGATAGTGTTAACAAATGCAAAACTGATATAAAAACACATTTTTTGATGCAACCGTGCCATTTTAACTTCCTTATATGCAGATTTGAACTGTTTTGTTGAACCGTAGTTACACGGGATTCGAACCGGAGCTCCTCACCTCTCAAGTACATCTCCGTACTCCATGAGCTACCGAACAAACCTATCGTCTATGAAAACCCATTCATATGAAGCTGGATATGTGCGGTGCTAACAATCAAAAGCATCAGTTTTCAAATCTCCCAGCATATTAAAAATGTTTTGAAGTCACAACATAATACTCTTCAAGTAATTGTGCGAAAATTACGCTTTATTAATCGAAACTCTGTAAATCATACTCTGTGTGAAAATAATTTAAAAGGTGTCGGAGTTTTACTGCCTCTAGTGTTCATTTTTTTTGGAAACTGCAGTGATATGTACTTATTGGTACGTATTTCGCGTCTTGCAAAAATGTGCCCCCAGGTACATATTTGCCATGAGACCGGGTAGAAAGTTTAATATGCAATCTGTAGTTCCAGTGAAAAAAGCATAAGGTTTATGTTTTCTTACTCCAGAATATGCTCCTTGAATGGATTTGAAATAGTTCAGCATTACGGGGGTCATGAATTGAGAAATTTTATTCATCAATTTGCCATATGAATAAATTACATTTGAAAATATATTCAAATAGGAATCCTAATAGTATTTCACAATATTGCGTTTTTGTCAAATAAATACACCGGTAACACTTTACATTAAGGTTCCCTTTTTAAAGGGTTTATAAAGGTGTTAATAAATGACTAATAACTCACTTACAAATGCATTATAAATCATTGATAAGCAGTTATAAATGCATGAGTAAAAGGGTGATTTTAATGCAATACCTGCCAAATAGTGAGCCATTTTTAACTCACATGTGTTAGTAACCTGTGAAAACGAACCTTAAAAGTGAACACCTGTGAACCATTTATTAATGAGTTATGAACATCATTAACCTGTAAAAGTGAACTTTAAAGTAAAGTGGACACACTAATCATTTATTAATTATTAATGCACTATTAATGCACACACAGAAGGTTTTTTTATCGGTTAAATGTATTTTATTATTGATACACTATATCAGTAAACAAAATTACTTAAAGAACATTACTGAGCATAACTGCACATGGAAAAGTGGCTTATACAATTAAACTCACATTAAAAAATTCAGAAACACAATAAAGTATTCCAGCAAATTATAACTAAGCACCAAAAAATATACATATTTACATTTGATCTAATTTAACAGTTTTGAGTAAATAATTAAATCAATAATTGAAAGCACAGTTAGAGAACATTATCATATTAATAAGCAAACAGTAATTACTTTTTGATATCATGATAAAGCCCACTGTAACTTCAGTATTTGTTCATCAACACTCAGTAATGTTACCTGCGCGCGAGCAAACCGACCGCGGAAGCGCCAGAGCGGTTAATTATTAATAAATAAATAAATAAATAAAGAATCACAAATTTGCACACCAGAAAGGATCAGAAATTGTATAACAACATATAATTTACATACATTTTCACAGATTTATAATGTTGTTTCTACATATTATTATAAGATGTGATATATAATGTATTTATATAATGTCACATTTAGTTTTGTGTACTACTAATAAAAATAATTTTCATTGCATTTAATGCATTTTTATTATATTCTTTCAGTATCACATCACCAAAGCCTGTGTGTCTGTAGTTGCCTGTGTGTCACCAAAGCCTGTGAATGGTGCTAGCGAGCATCCGATGTAAAGTCACGTTTTCAAAGAAGGAGAAGTCACGCTGTTAGCATTGTTCCAACGTGCTCTGAAGCGTGCTGTTACATTGTGTTTATTAATTTTATTGCTCAGCTAACTGTGAGGTGACACTGCAGAGTATATTTTTCAAGTGTTTATATGTGTAATGGCTTTGTTAGTTGAATTAATTCGTTACCATACAAATAAATAACCGCTCGGCGCTTCCGCGGACGGTTCGCTTGCGCGCAGGTAACGTTACAGTGGGCTTTATCATGATATCAAAAAGTAATTACTGATTGCTTATCAATATGATAATGTTTTGTAATGGTGCTTTCAGTCATTCATTTAATTATTTTCTCAAAACTGTTAAATTAGATAAAATAAAAAATATTTAGGTACCTTTATTGATTTTGCATTTATCAAATATTTTTGTTGTATAGATTTGATGCTTAGTTATAATGTGAGTTTACTTTTGTGAAGTTATGCTCAGTAATGTTCCAGTGTGCTGTAAAATAAAATATTAATCTTTTTGTTTCAAGTTGAAAGTTGTTTGCTAATGTAGCGTAACAACAATAAAATTTATTTAACCAGAAAATACTAACTTGTTCTGTGTGTGCAATAATAAACAATCAATCAATAAATAAATAATTATTGTGTCCATTTTACATTAAAGTTCACTTTGCTTTGAGTGGGGCAGGGTAATTGCTGTTGCTCCACTCCATACCTGGCTCAAAGCCCCATTAACTCAGCAGTGTGAATCTGTCTTCTGCATCATAATATTCTTTCCATCCCCAAGTATAAGACGAATGATTATTAAATACTCAAATAGCACAACACACTTGTAACCCAAAAGAACCCTTCCAAAAGAGTAAATGAGTCGCCAAATGGCCAAAACTAGTTCTGAGTGGCAGAAACGAAAGGACTTGATGGCTTAAATAGTGCCAGGGAACACAAAAGATTGGCAAGTGTCAAAACTACCAAGAAGAACTATCCTATAATATGCAGAACTTGCTAGTTTCATTGTGCATAGGCATCATGACAAGCTATGATCTATGTATAAATGTGGTTACATGCCATATTACAGGATACGTTAAGAGAGCTATAGATGTATGAACTCTCCAAGCTTTCGAATAATGACCCTTGACTGCTGTGAAAGTAACGGTTTGTTTATATCAACACAGTGTTATCCTGTCTGGCACTAATATTTGTAATGACATAATTGTGAAGCAATAATACACTGGAAACTACTTGAATGACAAATATTTTCCTAGAACAAAACTGGCTTTTTGCTTTGCGCAACAGCCGTTTCTCAGACTACGTGACGGAGTCTCAGGCTTGTCTTCCAGTAGTGTTCCGTTGCCTTCTCTCTGTGCACGAGACCGTACACACTCATACGGCTAGATGGTGTTCCCTCTCAAAACATTTCACCAATTCCTTCCATGGAAATTCTTATTGCCTCTGTCCCTCCGTCTCTCTGTCAGCATAATCACTTGTTGCTGCTATACACACCACACTAATCTCGCAGACACACCGCAGAAGTGATCATGTTAATTGCCGTTTATTGCATGGAATTATAAACCATTACAGTGCTACCGACATAGCCTGCCAAAACAAAGAGAGCTCATTTATGTTCAAACGTTCAAAGTGGTTCAACTAAAACAAAGCAGACTGTATTATGTATTGTTTTAATGGTATGAAATGTCTTTCTTATACTATTAAGCAAAAATTACCTTAGATTAGGTCTTTTAATGAGCGCACATAATTTTTTATAAAGGAAGGAAACAATGCTACATGTTGATATAGGCAATAAACACTTTTGCTGAACTGCATGAAGGTCTGTTTTACTTGGTATGGTCTATTTTTTTATTCCGTACAGTAAATTCTCTTTCTTCAGAAAACCTTCTTTATTATGAATGACATGGTATACTTTTGAAACGTTCTGTGTTTCTAGCATGCTTGTCAGTGTTTTCCACAATTTCCTCATTTGATAATAGTTGGCTGGAGCATTCCAAACTACTTAACCACACTGCAGTTCATCAAGCTTGCAATGACACCTCACTGCTGATTTTTTTCCCCACTCAGGAAACAAACATAGCCCTCACTTCATGGTTGTGCCTTTGTTGCTATTTTCCAAACCCAACAGAATATGAAGTATTAAGAGTCCAGCTGTAGCCCTGCGGGACCATACCCATTACTTACAGCAGGATTCCCCCAGTATTCCAATTGTTAATGCATCAATTATGGCCAGGGGATTCCCAGATGCAGCAGTTGTCAAGCTAGAAACTGGTCTGGCATGTGATTATCAGCAGGTGGGCTTAGTCTGCATTGTGTTTCCTAAAGAATTGGCTAAAGTTGAGGACCTCGACCAAGTCCAGATCAAATTTTCTTCACTTGAGGGTTTGATTACATTGAGGGTGTTGAATAAGGAGACATGCTTAATGTGCTTCCTGCGAAGCTTATGTGGGTTTGAAGAACATGCTGACAGTGATGAGAATGAATCC